GTAGGGGTGACCAGGCTGGTGGGGGGGGTTGTAGTTGGGGGCGATTAGGTGGCAGGGGGGGCAGTGAGGGGTGACCAGGCCAGTGGGGGGTGGGCAGTTAGGAGCAACCAGGCTGGCAGGGAGGGGGCAGTTGGGGGCAACCTGGCTGGCAGCGGGGGGGCAGTTAGGGGCGACCAGGCGAGCAGGGGGGACAGTTAGGGGTGATCAGGCCAGCACACAGAGGCAGTGAGGGGCAATCAGGCTGGCACACAGAAACAGTTAGGGGCGACCAGGCAGGCAGGCAGGTGAGCGATTAGGAGCCAGCGGTCCAGGATTGTGAGAGGGATGTCCTGGATTGGAGAGGGTGCAGGCTGGGCTGAGGGGGAGCTCCCCCCCCCACCCCCCGCACAAATTTCATGTACCAGGCCTCTAGTACCTTATATAAAAAGCCTCTATCAGAAATGTTCCCTCTGTGATTAATTTGTATCATTTCTTTCAAATTGTTTTACGTATTTTTCTTTAGATTATACAGGGAAGTCACATGATATTCTCATAGGGACTTAAGGGGAAAAAATTTTAATTTACCTGCTTAGAGGATCTCTTATCCACAGTAGGTTTGGACCCAAACTACAGTTGCCAACGCTCCACACAGTAAAAAATCCACATGTAACTCTTGACTTCCCCAGAATTTAACTACACAGTTGTTGCTCAGTACCTGAGGGGGACTGGTTCCAGGACCCCCTGTGGATACAAAAACCCACAGATGCTCAAGTCCCCTATGTAAAATGGCAGAGAACAATACATGCGGTAAGCTCTTCACATCCTAGGACTCCCACTGTAGATCAAAAACAGTACGTGGATTTATGAAAAAATCCATGTGTAATTTGACCCGCACAGTTTCAAACCCATGATATTCAAGGGTCAGCTTACTTCAGTGATGGCGAACCTATGACACGCGTGTCAGAGGTGACACGCAAACTCATTTTTTTGGTTGATTTTTCTTTGTTAAATGGCATTTAAATATATAAAATAAATATCAAAAATATAAGTCTTGTTTTACTGTGGTTGCAAATATCAAAAAATTTCTATATGTGACACGGCACCAGAGTTAAGTTAGGATTTTTCAAAATGCTGACACGCCGAGCTCAAAAGGTTCGCCATCACTGGCTTACTTCTAAGCAGAGGGAGACCACAACTGAAATGGAAAGAGAAACAAGATAGCTAATGTTCACAAACCTGGGTCCAGGAACATTTTCAAGAGTCCTTATGACTACATGCAGTTTTTGCCTCCAGAACTTCACTCAGTGTAAGAGGTAATGCCACTAGATAAGGAAAATTCAACATGTGATACATTGTTGTGCTGAGTGGCTTAGGTACATGGGATGCATGAAAATCCAAATTTATAGTGGGAATTCAGACTCTTAGCTCTTAAAGTAATGACTTTAAGTGTCATAAATTATGCCCCACACTTTGGATGTCACCATTCAAAGATCTTAAGTATTCAATAGAATTTATTGAAACATATTACTTCAGTAATCAGTAGAGTCTGAAAATTGGTGTGCTAACTATCTGTCTTCATGGGAGTATCAAATAGTGATTCTGTCCAAGGAAGTCTAGTTTTTAAAAGGATATTCATTTGGAATGCTGGTTTCTGTCATAGCCATGATTAGTAAGCAGGGAGATCTCATTTAATCCAGAGACAGTAAACAAAAAAGAGATTCAAAGATACAATTAAAGAGTTTAGCCTGTTTTTAAATATATATACAAAGATGTGGGTCATGAGATGGTAGTAATCCACTGTGTGGTTATATTTATAAAATGGAGAAAATAAAAAGGTTTCATGTGAAAATTTGAGATGATCTTTTCTTCGTTATCCCAGAAAGTGAAGCTATTTTTAAGAAATTTGTTTGATTGTGTTGCATTGTAGATATAATGTTAGTGCTCATTCACCACCAGCTAAGAAATCTGCCTAAGAGAAAGGACCTGAAAAGCAAGAAGGGGGCAGAGATTTGTCACCTCTGCTCTGGCTGCTGCCTCAACTAATAAAACTGACTCCCTTATACAGGGTGCATAACTGGGCGAGTTCGTGTTCCTTGATCTGGAAAGAGTGCTGTAAAAAAAACACATATTTTTTTGGCAGTAGAAAGTGGAACAGGAAGCTTTGACAACTTCTGTTTTGGGATAGTGTCTCAGAAATCAAAATACTATTATGATCTCACAGGGAGTCTCTTGGCTCCATAGAAACTTCCAGCTATTTAGAGTTAGGACTCACAGCAGATGGCAGAATCAGCAACCGCATCTCTGCCTCCTAAATCCTATATCCAGGGCCTGATGAAATGCTATCCTGTCCCTCCTGTACCCCTTCACTCCTCACCAGTCAAATGCTTCCTAATTATCTGTACCTCTCTCATATGTAGCACTTATCACTTTCTACTTTGCATGGTAGGTATTTGTGTGTGTGTCTCATCTGCTGAGTCCGACCTTAAACTCCTTACACACGGAGGGTGCTCAATAAATAGATACTGATTCAGGCAGGTCTGTGTTCTCTGGGTTCTCTGCTCTGAGTTAGCGCAGATACTTTTAGGAAAAGACTGGGATACTGGACCACGACTCAAACTTTCAAACCCACTTCTTCATTTATACAGGAATAAAAAATTGCTAAATACTAGTCACATTGAATGAATTTCTACATAGCTTTTTGTGTGTTCTGACAAATATCTATCAGGCACTAATGGGGGGTTGGCACTCTGAATACGAAAGAGTGCACAGTCTGATGAGAAACACAAACTCCCAACTAGATGAATGCAGTGTGGGAAGGGCCATAAACGGAACTCATAGGAAACACTGTAAGTGCGAGAAGAAGGGAGGGGCTAGTTCTGCCTGGCGGCTAGGAAACAAAGTCCTACAAGATGAGTCACAGTCACGGAGGAGGTCCTGGGAGTCCCAGAGGTCAGGTGGCTGAGTGTTCAGAGCCTGTGATGGTTTCAGAGTTATGGGGATGAGACAGGTCGGCATCTTTCCATTCCCTCTTGCAAATTTAAGAGCGTCTATTTCTCCCTAGACCCTCAAATATTTGGGAGTAGTTATTTCTACAAAGTAGGCAAGGATTCTTTTGTTTTCTTTTTTTCATGGCTTTCAAATGATACAGAAGCACTTAGCAAAAATCTGCAATCAGTTCATTTAGAATTTAAGGTCTAAATGCAGCCATAGAATGTGCAAAATAAAATTCTGCTTATGAGCAAAACTTCTTCTGAGATTATGGTGATAAAGTTCTCTCAACCCTAATATTTCTACATTGAATCATTTGACAAATATGCTCCGGGTGCCTGGGGTGTGCCAGCTTCTGCTCTAGGAGTTGGGGTCCAGCCCCAGTTCCCATCTGCCTCCCCTGCTGACCTTTACCGGAAGCAAGATGCAAAAGTCGGGAAACAGTCTGACAGCTCTGTTTTCATAGTGGTATTTACCAAGCATTCAGAGACCAAACGTTGAATGGCAGAGTGAAGCTGAGAAATGAGATGTCTTTCTGGACGACCCAGTCGGGAATTCCATTCGGGAGGGGCAGAACCCAAACTCCTTCCTGCGCCATCTGAATAATTTAAGCCCTTCTCTGCTCCCTCTGTACTCTGACCATAATGTGCTAGGCCTTTTGAAAAGCAATAGGACAAACAAACATAGTAATTCCTATTTTTCTCTCCAGGAGAAAAACTAATCCCAAATCCTCGTGTTTCTAGTATGATTTAGAAAAATCTAAAGTAGTGCCAGGTTTGCAAAGTAATAAATATGATAACTGAGAATAAGCTTTTCTAATATATCTTAAGTGAGATTTCCTTCTGACCTTTTTTTAAATGAAAGTTTACCAGTTGCATTTCTTCATATTAAAGTTACTATTTTAAAGTCATGTTATGACCAACAGATTATGACTGAGTTTTTATCTATTAGACAAGAATTTATTGAGTGCTTACTATGTGCCAAGCCCTACAGATACAAAGTCGGAGTTCCACGCACCAGGAAGGACCATAGTCCAGTAAATAATTTTAATACAGTGTAATAATTACAATTATATAAGCATGTCAGATCATTAGTGGTGACAAAGAACACATAGTCACCTCCTTGGGCAGGAAGGAGTTAGGAAAGATTTTTGAAAAGGAAATGATGTGAACCGAGTGTGGAAAGATGAAAGGCGAGTTGTGAACATTCATGTTGTGGTGGCAGAGAATGTGTTATTAGTGTCTGAGCATATTCAGTAGAGTCTACGTTGAAAGGCACCTTACAGATCTTCCAGTCCAGTGCCCCAGTCACGAAATCCCTGACAGGGAAGCAGTGTGACTGATGCACTCATTTTCCATTGGTGCTCTGGGTATAGCTTCACATTCCTTCCAAAACTAGGGGTCGGGTAGATTTAAACTGCCTGGGGCACCTATCTATCATTTACATTTATTTCATATATTAGTTTACATGAGTTTTCATTGGAGAGAAATAACACGGTTCTGTAGCTAAAAATACTGGCCTAGTACAAAGAGCATGGGACCTGTGGGAGAGTCTCTTATTTGTGTCCTTAAGCAAATGAAATTCAGTTGTCTCATGGAGGAGAAAGTGATCTGTCAACTGTAAGGCACTGAGTATATTTAAATTATTTTTAAGTCATTTGGGCCTGAGTTCCTTCATTTAAAAAATGAGGATGTTTCACCCAGAAGTCTCAAGTCCCCTGTAGTTCTAGAATTATATGATTTGTGATTACCCAGCTTTCCCTTGGCTAAATCTAAAGACAAGAATGCTTTTTCAGTGTACTCCTTCCATTGCTTTTGACAAGACTTAACATTGAAATTAAAGCATCTTGTTTTGTGAATTATAACTAGGAATTGGTTTTGTAAATTGCAAATACACACAAAGCTGAGATGAGACTGTGTGGTTCATAGGCTGTGGACATTGTAATGGCTAGTAATGTTTATTTGTTGCACATATGCCCAAAGTCAAATGCTTCAAATCTTGCTTTTAATAAAATATTTATGTTCTTTTGGTAGCCAGAAGTGCAACTTGCTGAAGGCTTTGATGTGTTTATGCCTAAATCTCAGCTGGACTCTATATTGTCAAACTACACTCGCTCAGGAAGCCTTCTGTTTAGAAAACTGGTGTGTGCGTTTTTTGATGACAAGACTTTGGCTAACTCCTTACCCAATGGGAAGAGGAAAAGAGGACTCAATGACAACCGGAAAGGACTAGACCAAAATATTGTGGGTGCAATAAAAGGTTGGTCTGCATCATTTCATTTTATGGGTTCTTTGTTGAGCTTTGTTTCGTTCCATAAAGATGCAGCTGAAATTGTAGTAGACTAAGTGGAGGCTCATTTAATAGGCCGTTGGCAGTTTACCCACTGGCATGGCTTTTGAGCGTGAGCTCTGTAACTCACCACTCTAAATACCACTAGAATTTGGTAATGTTCTAGTGATGTTCATCTGTTAAAATAACAATTTAAGAACTAGTGTAATCTGCTGCAGAACTAAAAAGAAGTTGATTCTTAATCGATTTTTAAAATGAAGATATTTTTCCTCTCAGTAATTTCTAACTAAGAACTTCATCAAATTTCAACTTAAATTTTTAATTGTAAATAAGAATAAAGCTATGATGTTTTTTGAAAATAAAGTAAAACAGTTGTCTCCAAAGGTCAGAAGTTGCTTTTAGAAGGTCATTGCTTCCAAAGACATTTTAAATGTAAATGAACCCATTGTGAAACCAAACCCTGTGCATCTCTACACACTCCTGGTCTCCTCTGTTCTCCTGGCTTTGTGGCATGGAGCCATGCCAGGTACATGCAAAGAAGATCATGGGTGTCTTCCCGTCAGCCCCTGTGAACATGTGTCTGAATTCCACCGCATTAACAATAGCCATGCAGGTGCCTGTATGAGTCGATACTCGTTTATATCCAGATCCAGATCCTAGACCTCTTTCTTAATTTTAAAATGTTCTTGCTTAGGGCTCTGATAAATGTTATTTTAGGTAATAGAAGTACATAGGTGTTATTTTTTAAAGGAATGTAAATGAATTCTCAACTATAAACACAACTACAATGAAAATGAAATTGTGCATCAGGCCTTAATGATTACTAGAATCGCTGCCTTAGTTCCTACATTTTTGGCTTGTGGACTGGGACTGGATGCAGAGGCCCTTTCCTCCCCACCCCTGGACCCGTTATTCTACAAAATGAGCAAATTAATTTAATAGTACTTAAGGATACTTGGAAACCTACAATGAGCTTCACAAAGTAATATGATTTTTAAATGGAGTCAGCAAGTTCCAGACACCTTTTGTTCATGGCCAGAAGGACAAAAGCCTTCATTAACAGAAAATTTTTCATTCTCCAACAGAATTTTTTTCACTTAAAAGTGATAGTTGAGTTGTACTAAGTAAGAAAAACCACAGAGATATCACAGTCGGTGTCATTTCTGAAAAGAAGGATTCGGCCTGAAGTGACACTAAAAAGATTGCACCACTGGGAATGGCCAGTGGTGACCAGGACTTGAGGAGGTGAAGATTTAATGTGGCTACGGGAGACAGGAAGGTCAAGGCTGGTGCTGCTTTCCATGGCTGAAGCTTTGAAACACACTGAAACGGAGCCAGGATTTGTGTTAATTTTCTTTTTTGGGGGGGACAGTATATTAAGATTATGAAAGTGTTTGGAAATTGGGGAAACATACATGACCATGTTCCAATTTAACAATAGAAGAGTTACCCTAATAATAAATAGATGGTGATGAAATATATCATTACAAGTAGACTAAAATGGGTTACTACTGTTTTCAAGCTAACTGGACATCACACAGTAGTTTAAAAATGTGTATTATAAACAGAAATAGAGAAGATGCCTTAATTTTCTTCACAGCCTGACTCTTTAGCTAGAAATAAATATGGCAATGAGGTTTCTGCTCCCTTTGCATAATAAAAGTTATTCAAATCAAAGAACTTAAAGTTTCTATACACTTCTTATATTACTGAATTAAATCTGCATTAAAATTCTTTTAGAACAACAAAGTAAATATGAAATAGGTAGAAATCTACCCATAAACCACCAACAACCTAAGTCAACAAATATTGTATATTCACTTGTTTCCTTGCAGTGTTTATTCAGAAACATTTTTCTTTTGTTTTTTCCTGATTACAAAAATAATACATGCTTGTAAAAATTCCAAACCATAAAAAACGTATGGAAAGCTGAAAGGCCTCCATAATTTCACTCTGCAGAGGTTACTGTGTACTTTCCTAGAATCTTTATTTAAAGTATGAATGCACTATAGTTTGTCTTTCTTATAAGAACATTCTCTTTGTACTTACTGGTCAGCATTTTCACCTGATTGATTCTGATCATTTCTTGTTAGTATGTTAAGGACAAGCTTTGTCTTAAATATTTTTTATTACTTGTGGCACTTTACTGAGCTTTGTACAGAGTAGGGTTTCTGAAAATACACTTTGGGTGAGTGGATAGAAAGGATTTTATTTTTCATCTTGACTTTAGCCTAAATTTATTGGCCTATTGGGTGTAGCACTCAACATGTATCTTTATGTCTTCTCACAGCTCATTTGTAATGATCAACATTAAAACATTGTTATAAATTTCTACCAGTTAATAAATTGTCATGAAAGCAAAAAAAAACCAAATAGAAACCAAAATTAAATATAAATTTGAATACATTTCTCTTAATTCCCTAATACTTTTTTCCTTTGCATATTACACTTTAAAAGTTTATTAACCTACATATTGTAATATAAAGTGATTTTTGGAGGTAGCTATTAATTGAAGGTCTTTTAGAATAATTATATTCAGTTTTTCTTGCTATTAGTAGAGAGAAAAAGAAAAATTTATTTCCCTAACCCAGGTCTTTTGAACCTGAGCAAACTGGGAAAGTGAAAAATCATTTCTTTATATATAACAGTGACAAGGCTACTTGTGTTACTACTGCTGTCTACCACAGACTTTGAAAAGATTTTGCAAATATTATTCAGTCTTCCTTTCTCTGTCTTTTGAGATAATGCACCAATACTGTATTAATGTGAAATGTTCTACAACCTAGGAATATACGAAGACTGGTAGATTTTATAAAATCTGAGAAGTAAAAATAACAGTGGAGTCTGGGTTTTGTTTCAAAGTGATTAGGTTGGCTAAGATAGCAATGGGAAAAGAAGTGGATGGAAACCTCTAAAATGCTTATAAATAGGAACAGAAATGGACTGAAAAATAAAAGAATTTATTGTGTAATAAATACAGAGCTCTCTGTAGTGATAATTAAAATCCCCATGACAGTACCTTGAAAATAAAATAGAATCCTCTTTGTAGAGATCACATTTTTTCACATAGTCTCATCTGTTTTATGGTGGCTAATAGATATTGGTAATTCATTAAAAATTCATTTATAGGTATGACCCAAGGATCCTTAATGAGCAGTACACCTGAACACTTTGAGCTCAACTGGGAAGAAGCAACATATGCTCTTATTAAGTGGAGGGTTAGTGCCCAGTTACGCTCTTCTCACTTCAAGCTGTACCTGCTGAAGACCATCTGATTCTTGATATCATTTACAGGAGACCATGAGTTAGAGCCACCTAAATAGTGATGGAATCATTGGATCTCTGAATGCTCTGCAGAAAATACAGTTACCGCAAAGCCATTTTTAGAACATGGGTTATGATTTTTAGTTCAGCTCCATAGACATTAGCTGAGAAAGTTTTATTAGTATCAAACTACATTAGATTCTTAAATCCTCTTACATTCCAAGGAAATTACATATGCTTGTCAAGTTAAAGAACTGGTCAACTGCTCTTCATTTTACTCTAGGCAACGCACACCTGCTATACACACTGCTGTTCTCCTGGGGAGCGGTCAGTGTGATGGTCTGCCAAGGCACACACCAGGCCTCAGAGCAGCCCTGGGAGGGAGCACTCCTTGGATGGTGTACTCCAAAACTGAAATATGCTTCTGACTAGACTAGAGGCCCGATGCACATTTGTGCATGGGTAGGGTCCCTAGGCCTGACCGGCGATCAGGGCCAATCTGTGGGGCGACTGGTGGGGTGATCTGGGGTGGTGCTGGCCTACTCACTGCCTGGCCCCGCCCCCAACCCCCCACCCCCGCCCCTGCCACCATCAGTTGCCTCCCTCTGTGGGGCGATCAGGAGTGTGGGGGTCCCACTGGCACCCACCTTAGCTGGCCTAGGGCCTTCGGGCTGGGGTCAGCTCCTGCATTGAGCATCTTCCCCCTGATGGTCAGTGCGTGTCATAGCAACTGTTCGGTCGGTTTGCATATTAGTGTTTTATTATATAGGATTAGAACAAACTGACTACATTTCACTTCCCCCTTAATTGGCTCTGCTGAACTGACCACCGAAACCTCTCATTTCATTTCAGCTTCTCTCAAGACTTACAGGGTCCATATTTGTCATTTTAGAATGACATACCTTTCTTTTTTATTTTTATTGCCTATCGTTCATTTCCTTGGATTTAATCGAGAAAAGTGAATAGCTGTTTTCTAACTTATCTCACATAGACCTCAATTAATTTGGTTGGGGTATAGTTTACATCTGACTTGTTATTTCTTGATAGTAGCTTCTGGGTTTTCTCAGAACTATCAGTAAGAACGAGGCGGAAGTATCAGCTTGCATTTGAATATCCTTACAATGTTGATTTCATTCTCACTTACAGGAGAGGAAACTAAGACCCTGAGAAATTAAACTTACTTTAATTAACTTAAACAGCTGGTAAGTGGTAGAGCCAGAATTTAAGCCCAGGTTTCTCTGACCCTAAAGCCACTGTCTAGCATGTTTCATTCCTTTTAGGAGTATTTGAAAAGAAACAAAGGTATCCCAATTTTAAATTTCTATCTTAAAATTTAGCATTTTGGATTCTTTAAAAATTTCACTAGAAGACTGTCATATTACTGATTTAAAACAACCAGTCAATTGCTGTGTATGCACCCTCGGACACAGAACCACAAAGAAAGAGCTTGGGAGTCACACTGCACCTAAGTAGTCTTTCAAAGGATGTAAATTAAATTCTAGTTTAATTGTTTGGCAGTTGGAACCCATTGATGAACGCTTTAATTCAAAAATCCTTTTGGAAGATGAATAATCATTGTCAACTCATCTATCTGCTCATATTCTTACCTATCAGATCAGCTTCAAACAGGATAGAGCTGCCTAGTATATAACAACAAAATCATATATAACAATGTACTAGTATAATGACATCAGGCACATAGCTTG